TCAGTGAATTCAGCCTTGACCTCCTGTGATGGAGGGATGAGCGGGGCTGTCCCCTCTAAGCCCCAGCTCCCTTCTGGAGGACTGCTTGTATCTGCAGCATCACACTGTCACCTCTGTGCTGACTGGGACCCTTCCAGTTGACTCTGAACCCATTGAGGGGCCATGGGTGCTTTTTAGATGCAACAAACTGGGTCCAGAAGCCCGATGTGGACTTTGAGACTCTTGGTTGCGAGTGACAGAAGCTCAAACTAGCTGAAGCTGAAAGAGGCATTGCTTGTCCCATGTGGTTAAATATCTAGAGGTTGCATAAGCTTCAGGCACAGCTGGCTCCTGTGGCCCCAGGAGGTGTTGCCACGCCCCTGTCTTGTGCCAGTTCTCCATGTTGGTGTCATTTTCAGGCGGGCTCTCTCCTTGTGGTGGCTCAGGTGTCTGCTGACAGTGCCAGGTCAGCAACAAAAGAGAACGCTTCTTTCCCTGGGTCAGCAGAAGTCCAAAGACAGCCCTCACGGCCCAGGCCTGTGGCATTGAGGCTTGAGAGGGACTTTGCTGATTGTCTATACCAGGGTCATGTGGCCCCTGAACCAGGGTACTGAGGGTCGGGAGAGGGGACATTGCACAGCAGAAGCATGAAACACCCTCCTCCCATCTGGACACCTTCCCCGCAGGGGAGTCCCCTCCTCTTTAAAATGGGGCTGCTTACCCTGCTGTACCACCGGGCTGGTCGTGAGGTGAGAATAAGTAAGGGCCTCTGGGACTGTAGTCTCCTCAGGAAGAGGGGACTTGATACTTCTGCTCTTGGTGACTTTGGAAGTCAGACAGGACCCATGCAGTGTGGGTGAGGGAGTGACAGGGAGGCAGGGCTTGGCTTGAGCTAAGGGAGGCCTCAGGGCCAGAGAAGTACCCAGTGATGGAGGAGACTGCCCTGAGAGGTGGTGAGCCCCATTGTGGAGGTGTGCACGCTAACAACAGGGTCATTTGTTAGCAAGCAGGTGTGCACTAACAGCAGGGTCATTGAATCCAGGGGGCCCTGCATTGGATGTGTCTCAGACATGGCGGAAGAGTTCCTTTATCCAGGGCCTTGTGGGGAGGCCCTCCCTGTTGCCAACTGAGTTGAGGACTGGTGGAAGAACTGGTGATTGGACAGGAGGCCTTGAAAACTTCCCGGGCAGGGGGTGCCTCTTGGTCTGACTTTGGCAGGGTGGCTCCTAGGGAGGAGCTGGCCTGGGGACATGCCACTGGTGGTGGGTTCCTGGACCCCTCTGGAGACGTGATCAGTGACTTCATTCCCCCCAGGCCTCACGGTGCCCGGCTTGTTCCAGGAGCTGGCCAAGGTCCCTGGATGGGCCGAAGTCCTTGTGCCCGTGCTGTCCACTGTTCACCTGCCCCTGCCTGCCGTTGCCCGGAAAGTGGCCTAATGAGTTCCTTCAGAGGCGTGTTTACCAGGCCTGGGTTCCCACGGGCCCTTGGGGCCCTCTCAGCTGGTTCCTCCCTCTCCTCGTGGTGGCCCAGCCTGGCTTTGTGTGCCTGGAGTGGGTGTGTCCACACACAGTCACACTTGCACTTTCACGCACGTGTCTGGCCGCCTCAGTTCTGGTCTGGGGGCTTTGCCTGGGAGATGGAGCAGCTGTGGGGAGTGGCCTCAGCCCTCTGGTGTTTGGAGCTTCTCAGTCTGGCCGTCCTGGTGCACTGGTGTTTGGCAGCAGGCCAGGGGGCAGGCAAGGTTGCTGTTTGTGTGCTGTGGCATCTGGCTCGGTCCCCCGGGATGTCAGTGGGGAAGCCTGGGCTGAGGAGCCCTGGTTTGGGAGCTGGCAGACCCGGGTTTGCATCCCAGCCCCTCTGTCTGCCAGCGCCAGCAGTGTGATCTTAGGCAACCACTCTGCCTGTCTGGGCTCAGTTCTGCAGGTGTGAAACGGTGGTGCCACCTTGGCCTTTGCCGGTTGTGAAGATGAGAGTGAATGTGTGTGCAGGTGCCGGGGGTGGCAGGAACTGCTGCTGTTATTACTGCAAAGGGCTATTTTGGGGTGGGAGGGGGCTGGATTGAATGTGTCTCAGGCAGGGACCGTATCTCGTTTGGCAAACCCTGCAGCACAGGGTTGGATGTACATGGTTAGCACACAGTAAATGCCTCTTGTGGAATAGACTGGTTAGTTTAGATTTAGAGGTTGTACACTAGTGGGCTGCAATCACTGCAAAATTTGAAATCAGCTGCCAACATTTAAAACTCATTTTACATAGAAATCAGATTTGCAGCCTGTCTGAGCACTTTGGGCACTTTGACAGCCCTGGGCCACACCCCAGAAGGGTTGCCCCTCGTTGAACAGGTGCTAAGGCCTGTAGACACCTGCCCAGGCACTGAAGGAGACAGGGCTCCTCAGCAAATGACCCCTTCTTCCCTCCCCAAATATGTGGTTTTTGCATTTTGTTCCTGGTGTGTGGTGATGGAATAGGAACTTCCAGAGGAAATAGAGCCCGAGGTGGCTCCTGGAATCAAGGTGGCCCCTGGGATCTCATAGTAGCAGGTGTTGAGGTTGGGGGGCTTCCCTTAGACTTGGGGACCCTGGATATTCTGCTTTTTACCTTTGGGGGCTGGGGGCTCGTCTGGCCGCCTTCCCTCCGCTGGACCAGCTGTCCTTTGAAGCTTCCGCTGGTGGCTGGCCATTTGTGCCCCATGACTGCCCTGAGCCGTCCCATGTCTCACAGCCTCCCTGCCGTGAGACAGCCTCTGCCTCTGGCCCTGCTCTGGTTCCAATCCAAGGCAGGCCTGGAGGACACTGGGGGCCTGGATTCTTGGTCCAGGGTGGCCCCTTCATGCAAGGGTCCTGTTGGGACTATGGCAGCTGTCCCCAAGTCCCCATTGCTGTGTGAGGGATTGCACATTTTTGGTAATATTCCTTCCTTTGGAGACTGATGGGGATCACTGGGGAGAGAGAGTCCAGCCTAGCACACAGGAGGCGTAAGGACTGGCAGGCGTAGGTGTGATTCACAAGCCTTTTTGGAATCAATGAATATGCTAAGGAATGAATGGTGCTGGGGAAAGAAGGAGCCCGTATGGGCTGAGCGTGGCAAGCCTGGGGGTCAGCTCACAGTGTGTCACAAAGGGGCCACTGTGTCCCTCTCTGAGACTCAGCTTCCTTTTCTGTGAAGCAAGGCTTGCAGACATCTGAAATTTATGTCAGTGGGCTATTTAAACAAATAAACAAGATTTTTGCGGGCTACAGTGGCTCATGCCTGAAATCTTGACACTTCGGAGGCTGAGGAGGGTAGATTGCTTGAGCCTAGGAGTTCAAGACTAGCTTGGGCAACATGGCGAAACCCCATCTCTACAAAAAATACATGGCCCACTGCAGCCTAAGCCTCCCCAGGCTCAGGTCCCAGCTACACAGGAGGCTGAGGTGGGAGGATTGCCTGAGTCCGGGGAGGTTGAGTCTGCAGCAGGCTATGATCACACCACTTCACTCCAGCCTGGGTGACAGAGTGAGACCCCATCTCAAAGAAAACAAAAAACAAACAAAAACAGAAAGAAAGAAAATGCAAAATGCAGTTTTATGTGAAACTTACTGTAACACAGATGCAGGGGGCTACTCTGGCTGAAGCAGGCATGCCTGAGTCTATGCCCTCCGACCTTCCCTTCCCATCAGGGGCCTGATGCATGTCCCCAAATCTCAGGGCTCCTAGGATCACAGCTTGGAACGCTCTGTGCCTGGAGACATGAGACTCACTGGAAAATGAAGTGAATGTGGTGTTCGCACCAGGACGATGGGGACAGAGCAGAGTCTGGAAACAGACCCCATCTGTATGATCACCTGACTTATGAGAGAGGTGGCTCCACTGAAATTCAGTGAGAGGATTGCTGGTTCACTGAACACTACTGGGATAATTCAATATCCATGTGGAAAAAAGAAATGAACCTTGATCCCTACCTCACACGATACCCAGAGTGAATCAAGATGAATCAGAGACCTTAGTGTGAAAGCAAAACAGAGAAACGTGCAGAGCAGAACTGGCCTGTAGAAGTTTCTGTGATGATAGACATGCTGTATTTTTCTGTGCTGTCTAGTACAGCAGCCGCCAGTCGCATGTGGCCATTGAGTATTTGACTTTTTTTGTTTTTGTTTTTTTTTTGAGATAGAGTCTCACTCCATTGCCCAGGCTGGATGCAATGGCACGATCTCAGCTCATTGCAACCTCTGCCTCCCAGGTTCAAGTCATTCTCCTGCCTCAGCTTCCCAAATAGCTGGGATTACAGGCACACACCACCATGTCTGGCTAAGTTTTGTATTTTTAGTGGAGATGGGGTTTTACCCTGTGGGCCAGGCTGGTCTCGAACTGCTGACCTCAGGTGATCCACCTCCCTCAGTCTCTCAAAGTGCTGGGATTACAGGCATGAGCCACCATGCCTGGCTGGCTGTTGAGTATTTGAAATGTGGCTAGTGTGACTGAGGGTCTGAATTTCTAACTTGATTTTAAATTAATTTAAATTTAATTTAAAATAGTGGCTGGGCATGGTGGCTGTAATCCCAGCACTTTGGGAGGCTGAGGCAGGAGGATAGCTTGAGCCCATGAGTTCAAAATCACCCTGGGCAGCAGGGGGAGACCCTATCTCTACAAAAGAAAATTTAAAAATTAGCTGGAGATGTGGTGGTGCACACCTGTAGTCCCAGCTACTTAGGAGGCTGAGGTGGGAGAATCACTTGAGCCCAGGAGTTTGAGGCTGCAGTGAGCTATGATCATGCCACTGCACTCTAGCCTGGGCAACAGAGTGAGACCCTGTCTTGAAAAAAAAAAGCAGCCTCATGTGGCTAGTGGCTACTATCTTGGACAGTGCAGTTCTAGAAGACACAGGGGACTAGCTTTACAACAACAGGACATAAAAGTTAGGTTAGGGTTAAGATGGATAAATCAAACTTGGTGCTGTGAGGCCTGGGCCCTGCTCTCCCCAGTGCCAGCCCTCCCCTGACTTGGCCCATTAGGTCAAGCTCCTGTCTGCTTCATCTCCGCAGAGCTGAGGAACTGCGTGTGGAGTCAGCCCAGTCTGGATGCACAGGAGGATGCCGGCGGCACAGTGAGTGAGGCCTGGTGCCAGAGCTGTGTGGACCCCTCATTGGCCATGGAGCAGCAGGCTCAGAGGCCCTCTCCCCAGCCCTGCTTGCCTGCCTTGGAGAGGACAGAGGCCTAGGCCCACAGGGGAGGGCGTTGGCAGACAGATGCCCTCCAGGCCCTGGGGCCTCCTTAACGGCCGAGGGTGGAAGATGCCGGCCAAGGGGCGCTACTTCCTCAACGAGGGCGAGGAGGGTCCTGACCAAGATGCGCTCTACGAGAAGTACCGGCTCACCAGCCAGCATGGGCCGCTGCTGCTCACGCTCCTGCTGGTGGCCGCCACTGCCTGCGTGGCCCTCATCGTCATCGCCTTCAGCCAGGGGGTGAGTGAGGGCAGCCCCTGGGCTTCACATCTCAGCCCCAACCTTGGCCAAGCTGCCATCTTCTCTTAGCCTCAGTTTCCTCTTCTGTAAAATGCTATTTTTTTTTTTTTGAGAGTCTCACTCTGTCACCCAGGCTGGAGTGCAGAGGCATGATCTCGGCTCACTGTAACCTCCGTCTCCTGAGCTCAAGCAATTCTCCTGCCTCAGCCTTCTGAGTAGCTCGGATGACAGGTGCGTGCCACCATGCCTAGCTAATTTTTGTATTTTTGGTAGAGATGGGGTTTCACCATGTTGGCTAGGCTGGTCTTGAACTCTTGACCTCAGGTGATCCACCTGCCTCGGCCCCCACAAAGTGCTGGGATTATAGACGTGAGCCACCATGCCCGGCCAATGCTGTGTCTTTTACAACACGTTTAGACTGGTAGAAGACAAGTTTCTAATTTAAAAAAAATGTTTTTGAGACTGGGCCTTGCTGTGTTGCCCAGGTTGGCCTTGAACTCCTGGGTTCAAGTAATCCTCCTGGCTCATCCTCCTGAGTAGCTGGGATTACAAGCATGCATGACCATGCCCAGCCTCTCTAACTTTAATTCAATTTTGAAGTCTGGAGTGGTTTTAGATATTACATTAACTTGTCTGAATAAACTATTCTCATTTTTCTCCATGATGAAATTTGATTCTACTGAAGACCTGGGTCAGGGATGGCCTGCGTATCACTGCCCTCACTTCCTGTACCCATGCAGACATCATTAATCAATCCCTACACTCCACACTGAGCCTGTCTACGTCCTCAGAATCCTCCTTCTATTTTTTATTTTTATTTTTATTTTTTCGTAGAGACATGGCCTCGCTATGTTGCCCAGGCTGGTCTTGAACTCCTGGCCTCAAGCGATCCTCGGCCTCCCAAAGTGTTGGGATTACAGGCATGAGCCACTGTGCCTGACCTCAGAATTCTTTTTAACACAGCCCTCCAGGCTGGCACCACTCATGTCATTTCTGGCCCAGGCACTTGCCTTGGTACAGCCACTAGCTGTGTTCAGCTATTGAGCATTTAAAAAGTGGGTAATGTGACTGAGGAACTGCATTTTTCATCTCCCCTCCCCTCCCATCTCCTTTCCTTTCTTTTGAGACAGAGTTTCGCTCTTGTTGTCCAGGCTGGAGTGCAATGGCACCATCTTGAACTCGCTGCAGCCTCCACCTCCTGGGTTCAAGTGATTCTCCTGCCTCAGCTTCCTGAGTAGCTGCGATTATAGGCGCACGCCACCACACCTGGCTAATTGTTGTATTTTTAGTAAAAACGGGGTTTTGCCATGTTGACCAGGCTGGTCTCGAATTCCTGACCTCAGCTGATCCACCTGCCTCGGCCTCCCAAAGTGCTGGGATTATAGGTGTGAGCCACCATGCCCGGCCCATTTTCTTTTTAGTGAATGTAAATTTGATTAGCAGAGTTCTGGAAGAACACTCGGAAACTCCAGGGTGTTTATACGAGTCAAGTGGCCAGAACCCAGCAGCTGCCAGTGCAGCCTGGATCCATGTGGCTATCAACCACAGGACGCTTGCTACTGTGTGCCAGCCCCCAGATCAGGCCTCTGCCCCCACGGACCTCCTGGATGCTGTGCCCGTCCCGTCCTACCTCTGTGCTGTTGCCCCAGCTCCTCCCCTATGGGATGACTTTTCCTGGTATCCCTCACCAGCCTCTGCTCACTCACTGAGGGCCGGGTGCAGTGTCCTCTTTGGGCAGCTTTCCAGGGCTCTGCCTGTGAACGAGTCCTGCCCTGTGCTTGTGGTATCACTTGTGGCTGTGCACAGAGCACCGTGGGAATCCAGAGAGGAGGCAGGGATGGAGAGTGATGGCATCATGAGCGGGACTGTGGGTGATGCTCTGGTTCCCGAGGTGATGGGAAGGGGGTGGTTGAGGCAGCCTTGGCAGAGGTGACAAAGAAAGGCCAGAAGGTGAGCGGGAACCAGGCGTGGGAGGGCTCATCCACACCCTTCATGTGGAGGAAGCTGTAAGTGAGGCAGCCGGCCCAGCAGGCCTTCTGGAGGAGGTGGCTCTGCACTGGGAAAAGCTGAGGCATTTCTGTCTGTTTGCTCTACCCAGGACCCCTCCAGACACCAGGCCATTCTGGGCATGGCGTTCCTGGCGCTGGCGGTGTTTGCAGCCCTCACTGTGCTGATGTATGTCGAGTGTCTCCTGCGGCGCTGGCTCAGGGCCTTGGCGCTGCTCACTTGGGCCTGCCTGGTAGCCCTGGGCTACGTGCTGGTGTTTAACGCGTGGACGAAGGCGGCCTGTGCGTGGGAGCAGGTAATGGGGACTCTGGACTCCCTGCCGGCTGCGCCCTCAGGAGCTCCCATCCCCGTGGTTGGTGGGCATGCCACAGGCCCTTCCTGCCCCACGCTTGGCTGTGTGTCTAGGATGGCCCCAGGCTGGTTTTGTCCCTGTGAGTTCTCAGCATTGACAGGGCTGAGGTGGGGAGAGTGTCCACTTTGGATGCTGGGCTGCAGCACTTTCTGGTGGCTCCAGTTTGGTTGGAGATGACAGAACTTCAGCTCAAAGAGGCAAAAAGGCACAAACTGGTTCCTGTGTCAGGAAAGGCCGAGGAGTCAGTGCTGGGCTCCAGCGGGATAACTGGACCTGGGGCCTCTGGACAGCTTCAGCCCCAGGCACGCTGTCCCCAGGTGGGGGCAGAGAAGGCCACAGGGCTCCAGGCTGCCCACCTCAGCTGAGACAGAGGCCCCTTTCTCAACCAGCTCAACCTGCAGGCTTGAGCCACACTGACCTGACTGTGGTCACAGGCCCAGTCCTGGATGGTCACTGTCACCAAGCAGTGGCACGCTCTGACCAGTGGGCCTGGGTCCTGTGACAGCTCCTGTGGCTGGGGCGGGGTGGGGTGAGGCCCAGGGGAACCATGTGGACTGAAGGGGAGGGAGAGGGCAGCACTCCCAGAGGGGTGGACGCAGGACCGGCTGGTGGGGTTGGTGGGGCAGCTCTGGGAGTGGAGGGAGGGCGGGTGGGGCCGCATTGCTGGAGGCAGCTGGTGAGAGGGTGCCTCAGCCTCCCGGTAATCATTCCTGCCGAGCGAGAGCCACATGGCAGGGGCACCAGGTGGGGGCTCCCTGGATCACGTGGGGCATGGAGCCTTCCACCTGGGGTGGCCACAGGCAGTGGATCAGCACAGGAAACCATGGACCATGTGGCCGGGCCCACCCCAGAAACACATTCTGGCTTTTCTTGTTCCCTCGTATGTCTGCCCACGCCGGGGGGAGGTGAGGGAGCCGACCTAAGGACACTGACTGGGTGGGCTGGTGTGGTGCAGGTTTCTGGGGGTCGTAGGGCCTGGGGCAGCATCTCGGGGCACTGGGCTCACCAGGCTGCATCCACAGGTGCCCTTCTTCCTGTTCATCGTCTTTGTGGTGTACACGCTGCTGCCCTTCAGCATGCGGGGCGCTGTCGCTGTGGGGGCTGTCTCCACCGCCTCCCACCTCCTGGTGCTCGGCGCTTTGATGGGAGGCTTCACGACACCCAGTGTCCGGGTGGGGCTGCAGGTGAGGGACGGGCTAAGGCCTCTGGGGAGGTTCTGTGGTCTGGGTCTAAGGGCAGATGGGGGCCCCCTCTGGGTGAGTCAGACCCAAAGGCCCCGGAGCCGTGTTTGTAGACAGCCTGCTCCAAGGCCGGGTCCTCTCCGAGTCTGCTCCGAAGCTGGGCCTCAGGCATGGCCCTGCCCTCTGGCCTTTGCTTTGCTGGCCTAGGGCTCCCCTGTGGCTCAGCCCTCAGGGTCGTGACCTCAGGCCCTGCCTCCTGGTTCAGGGATACTGTCATGGGGTGAGTCCCGTTCCCAAAACTTTTTCCTCACAGGCCCTGTCCTGACGGGGCTTGGGGGAGTATCCCAGGACACTGCCTTGTGTCTTTGTGTTGAATGACTGAACCATCTGTTCATAATTATTGAGGATTTAGAGATGTGCTTCCTCCTGACCAGGCCTGGCATCCTCTCCGGGCAGAGGCTGGCCCTCTGCACAGCCAGCTGGGCGCTGTGCCCTCTGGGACTGCCCTTAGCACTCAAGCCCCTCAGGCCCTGGGCTCTGTGAGGTGGCCTCTTCTGCCTTCCTGGGTGTCCTGGTCTTGCATCCTAGTGACTCACTAGGAGACTAGCTCCTGTCTGGGCCTCAGTTTCCCTGTCTGCCCCAGGAAGAGTGACATTCTCAGTGGGTTGGGGGTCAGGGAATGGGAAGAGGTGCCATCACTAGTCTGCCTAGGAGTCTGGTGCCTGGGAGGGCAGGGGCCAGGCCACACTGGCCAGACTGAGCCCTACCCTGGTCCACCCGCAGCTGTTGGCCAATACAGTCATCTTCCTGTGCGGGAACCTGACAGGCGCTTTCCACAAGCACCAAATGCAGGATGCGTCCCGGGACCTCTTCACCTACACTGTGAAGTGCATCCAGATCCGCCGGAAGCTGCGCATCGAGAAACGCCAGCAGGTGGGACCTGGCCCCCACTCCTCACCTTGCACACCCCTGTCCTCTTCCTCTTTCTGTTGGACATGAGACACTCATGCCGCCATGTGCATGAGGTGCATGGACAGACACCTGTGCAGGTCTCACCTCGGTAAGTCCTGGGCTCCAGCAGGGTAACCGTAGCCTGCTGACCCTTGACTCTGCCTTCCTCTGTGTGGTTTCAGTCCTGGGCACGCCGTCCCCAGGTGGCAGCAGAGAAGGCCGTAGTGGCGCCAGGCTGCTCACGCATCAGCTTAGCCTCCCCAGCTGAAAGAGCCCTTTTCTCAGTCAGTCTGAGTCCCGGGGGCTGCTGGGTACATGGGAGCTAGATGCCCAGTTGGGTTGGTGAAGGACAGGAGCAGAGATGGAGACATTGTGGGCAGGGCAGGCAGGCAGGGAGGATGGAGGCCAGGGAGGCCAGGTCTGGGCCCTGATGCTACCTTGCCTGTCCTCCGCCGGTCCCTCTGCTGGTCTGCCCGCCGGCACCCAGGAGAACCTGCTGCTATCGGTGCTTCCAGCCCACATCTCCATGGGCATGAAGCTGGCCATCATCGAACGGCTCAAGGAGCATGGCGACCGCCGCTGCATGCCCGACAACAACTTCCACAGCCTCTACGTCAAGAGACACCAGAATGTCAGGTGGGCGGTGAGATGTGTGGACAGCGTATCTCGGGGGCTGGGTCCACCGCTCCCCCGGCCCCCAGGTGGCCTCCCTGCCCTATCTGGAGGCTCAGACTCTTGCCCATATAGGGATTGGGAGAGGGCCCCATGGTTCCAGATTAATCCAGGGCCCTCCCTGGGCCTCAGAATCCCCACTTGTTTCCCCAGGGGCAGGATCAGGTCAGGGCTCTTAAATTAGAGAATTCAGATTGGTATTGGAAGATCTAGCACCCCCCAAAACTGTAAAACTGTGTGAGCAAACATAGCTTTTGTGAAGGAAGGGGTCCTTTCCGATGATTCTCAAGGGAGCACAGGACCTCCAGAAGGAGGTAAAGCCCCCCGCGGGGCCTTGGTGCCCAAGAGTGCCCCAGTTCTGACACACCCGATTTGCAGGGAACCATGAAGTTGTACTTGAATGCACTGACCTGAGTTTGTCAAGTGTAGATGTGGGTGCTGGGTGCTGTTGAGTGTAAATGTGGGTCCCGGGAGACCCCTGGGGTCCTCTGCCTGCAGCGCCAGCATTACATCCAAGGCTGGCCCGCTGCCTTTTCTCTGGTCTGTGGATGGTCCATGAGCTTATGGACTTTGGAGCGGGGAAACCTGGTGCAGATGCCAGCTCTTGGCTTTCCAGTAAGTCTCAATGTCCTGGAGCCTGTTTGTACGTCTGTAGAACGGGAGTTCTGCAAGGGTTGTGTGAAGACTCAATGCCTGTAAAGCACTGGGTGTGGAGGTTGGCTTAAGGGAGCACGGAGCTGCCTCTCACCAGGGAGTTCTAAGGTCTGTGCTGTGGCGAACATTGGATGGGAAAGGGGAAGGCTCCAGGCTGCCTGCAGAAGTGCCCTTCAGCTGTCTGCAGTGATGGGGCCCAGGGGGAGCCTGAGGGCCCCTGCAGGTTCTGGACTTTGCTCCCTTCTGCTTTAATGTGAAGTCCCTGGAACTTTAATCTGTCTTTATGGCTGGGCGCGACTCTCCCATCCCTATGGAGGCTGAGGAAGGGCAGGGGTGAATGGGCTCAGGCCTGGCAGGCTCCTGGGGCTCCAGACAGTCCTCCATGCTCCTGCTGCTGCTGTCCAGGAGCCAGGCTCTGACACTCCCTCCCATCCCGCCCCACCCCCAGCATCCTCTATGCGGACATCGTGGGCTTCACGCAGCTGGCCAGTGACTGCTCCCCCAAGGAGTTGGTGGTGGTGCTGAACGAGCTCTTTGGCAAGTTCGACCAGATCGCCAAGGTGAGCCTGCCGGCCTGCACTGGGCAAAGCCAGGCCCCTCCCCTGCCCATTGTATCTCCAGGGGTGTCCTGTGTCCAGCGCCCTGCTGGGATTGGGATGGGGAGGCGTGGCTGAATTTTAGCATCCAGTCAGCAAACACAAGCACCCCATGGTAAAGGTGGGGGTGAGTGGTGGCCACGGCAGCCAGGATCCTGTGCTCCGAGTGTGAGGCCAGTGGGGAGATGGACAGTGCACACTGGGTGATCTACTGGGGCTTCGGAGCTCAGATGGGGGCTCAGGAGGAGGAGATGGCTCCATCCTCACTGGCAAGGCCAGCAGCCTCTACTCACTTGGTAGCTCAGGAGGACTGTGGAATGCCCAGCCTCACCCAGAACTGCTTTTCACAAGATCTGCGGTGAATCATGGGCACATTAAACTTTTATGTTTTGTTTGTTTGTTTTTGTGAGATGGAGTCTCACTCTGCCATCAAGGCTGGAGTGCAGTGGTGCCATCACTGCTCACCGCAGCCTCTACCTCCCAGGCTGTGATTCTCGTGCCTCAGCCTCCTGAGTAGCTGGGACTACAGTGTGGCACCCGCCACCACGCCTAGCTAATTTTTTGTATTTTTTATTTTTTATTTTTGTAGCAATGGGGTTTCGCCATGTTGGCCAGGCTGGTCTCGAACTCCTGACCTCAAGTGATCCTCCCCTCTTGGCGTCCCAAGTGCTGGGATTACAGGCGTGAGCTCCTGGCCCACCTTAAAGTTTGAGATACTTGAAAAAACATCTGAGGAGGAAAGGGAACAGTGTTCTTAGCAGGGGGAACAGCATAGACAAAGCCTGGGGTAGAAAGAAAGCCCTGTGTGTCCATGGGGTGAACATGCTCAGTGGGCGTGGAACAGGGTGTGAAGTGGACAAGGGCACAAGGTCAGGCGTGCAAGGACATGAGGGCCAAGGCGAGGACCAGGATGCTGAGGAGCTCGACAGGTGCCAGGCAGGGAGGGAGGTCAGGCAAGGAATATTTCCATTAATGGACCAAATGGTCCTGAGAGTAGGTGAGTGCCAGGCCCTGAACCTGGGTGGGGCCTTGGGCCTACATGGTATGTGTTTGAAGAGAAGTGTGGGGTCCAGGAAGCCTGGGGAGCACCTAGCCCAGCTTCAGGTGATCAGGGCAGGTTTCCTGGAAGTGGTGGCCATTAAATAGAGGCTGAAGTGTAATTTAAGGTGGTGGCTCCCTATCCTGGCTGTACTTGGGAATCACATGGAAAGCTTAAAACACCAATGCCCGTGTCCATACCCATCAGAGTTTTGTTTTGTTTTGTTTTTGAGACAGAGTCTTGCTCTGTCACCTAGGGTGAAGTGCAATGGCATAATCATGGCTAACTGCAGCCTCAACCTCCCTGGGCTCAGGTGAACTCCCACTTCAGCCTCCCGAGTAGCTGAGACTACAGGTGTGCACCACAACCCCAGGCTAATTTTTTTTTTTTGTATTTTGTTGAGATGGGGTTTTGCTATGTTGTCCAGGCTGGTCTTGAATTCCTACACTCAAGTGATCCACTCACCTCAGCCTCCCAAAGTGCTAGGATTACAGGCATGCACCATCACGCCCTGCCACATCAGAGTTTTTTTTTTTTTTTTTTTTGAGACGGAGTCTCAATCTGTCGCCCGGACTGGAGTGCAATGGCGTGATCTCGGCTCACTGCAAGCTCCACCTCCTGGGTTCACACCATTCTCCTGCCTCACCCTCCTGAGTAGCTGGGACTACAGGTGCCTGCCACCTCGCCCGGCTAATTTTTTGTGTTTTTGGTAGAGACAGGGGTTCACTATGTTAGCCAGGATGGTCTCGATCTCCTGACCTTGTGATCCGCCTGCCTCAACCTCTCAAAGTGCTGGGATTACAGGCGTGAGCCACTGTGCCTGGCCAGAATTTTTAAGAGCCTTCTAGGTGTCTCTGTGGGCAGAGAATCAATGGTCTAGAACTTGATGGGAGGGAAGTTATGACTTCACACCGGGAAGAAGTTTTCACGATCAGAGCAGCTCAATCCTAGGAGGACTGGGAGTGGGCTCCCTGTTGCAGGCGGTAACCAAGCTTCTATAGGATTGCACTGGTCAGGGATGTTCTGGAAAACTGTCCCATCCTGGGGATTGTGGACTGAGTGACTCAGAGGGCCTGTCTAGCCTGGAACCTTCCTTCAGGATCTGCATGGCTTCTGAGCCAGCAGCTGGGAGCCCCAGAGGTTGAGGTTCATGTGAGGCAGGGGCCCTGGGCTCGGGCCACAGCTGGCCCTTTCCTTACCATAAAGCCCATGCAGAGGGTCCCTTGCCTCTTGCACACAGTCTTCCCTCTCCAGCAGGCCCAGGAGGCATGGCTGTATTGCACAGATGGGGAAAGGGAGGCCATGGCAGCTGCCAGCTTCCCAGAGCATCTAATCTCTGGGCAGAGTTGGGCAGGGCTGGTCCCAGCCTTTTCTCCTATCAACAATAAGATTCCAGAAGTGTAAGCTCTTTCCAAGAGCCAGGGCCTCCTCTCTCAGAGGCATACAAGTCACACCTTGGCGCAAGACCCAGCTCCCCAACTCCGAGTGTCAGAGACACAGGGGACTGTCAGCCGGTGGAGCAGCCTGGGGTATGTGGCCTCCCCTACATCCCCGAGAGCCAGGCTGGGTCCACGGGCAGTCCTGTGCCTGGTCCGAGAGGAGATCAGGGTAGCCGGACCCTAGTATCCAGGTCTGCCAAGGTTGCCTGCTTTCTAGGAAAGTTACTGTCCTTGTGTCCCTGCAGTCACTCAGAACTCACTCAGCATGTGCCAGATGGGGCCCAGCAGGAAACATCTGGCACACGCTCAAACTGAGTAATTGGAGGAGGGCGCAGGCCAGGGACGGTTCCCAGGGTGGGCAGGTGCAGGGGACCTGGAGGCAGGGCTGGTGCTATGTCTGGGGCCTGGGTCTGTGATGACTGATAGGCACAGAGTGGGGACGAGGCCAGGATAGGCTCTAGACCTGGAGACAGATGGTGTTCCAGGAGCAGGGCTAGCCGTCGTGAGCCTGCAGGACAGAGCCCTCTTAGCTTCCTCCCTGCCAGAAGCCAGAGCACAGGGCCACCTGCTGGGGTGTCCAGTCCGAGGGTCAGCCGAGTGGGTAGAGGGTAGGGAGGGGAGAGCAGAGGCAGATGGTGCTCCTTCTTCAGCTCCCCTAAAGCCCCACCCACGAGGCCTCGGTGCATGTGGCCACGCTTGCTGAAGGCTTAGGGAAGGCCTGGTGATGCAGCAGTGCCTCAGATGAACCTCAGAGGGCTCTCGGGGTCCCCTTCCCTCCCTGGGCCTTTTCCTTTGAGTCCCCGGCCTCGCTCCTCTCTGTCTCCGCCTTCCCCATCCCTCTTTCCTCTTTGCATTGGTATCTTTCCTCCCCACCCCTAAGCCCTGTCAGCACAGCCACTGCTTGGGTGACCTTGAAACCTGCTGACTCCTTGGTGTGTGCACCTGTGACCTCTGTCCTCACTCCCCACTCCTGCAGCCTCCTGGCTGCCTCGCTGTCTCTTCCCCAGCTCCTGTGAGTCCCTGAGCACTCTCCCTGCAGAGACTGGCATGGCCGGCTCTCGCGGTTCCTCAGGGTCTTAGCTCAAATGATTCTGATTCCTTCTCTGAGAGGTCTTCACTGGCTTCCTGGGAACATCACCTCCCTCCTGTGCCTTGGTTTTCTCCTTAGTCCGGTCACTAAGAGGGGCACACTGCTCTGTTTTTGTCTTTTTAGTTTAGTGCCCACCCCTCCTGCCTGCGTGCAAGCTCCGTGGCTGCAGAGATTTTCGTCTATTTTGTTCACTGCTGTGTCCCCTTGCCTGGCCTGGGGCCGGGTACTCAGTAGGCATTCAAACATTACCTGGGCAAATGAAACCAAGGCAGAGCCCTGCCCGAGGCCCTTAGGAACACTTGTGTTCACCTCTGGTGCTTGCCTGGGGGTTCCTCCTGGGGAGGCTCCCATGTTGCTAAGCCTTTTGCCAGGCCCAGAAGTGGCTCCTGGTGGCTGGACCCCAGGAGGCAAGCCCCCAACCAGGAGAGAGCCGGGCGCACCCTGGAGGGTCGGGGGAGGCGGCTGTCGTGAGAGGTCCCGGCCCCAGACCTTCCAGTGACCAGGCCCCTCCCTTACCCTGCAGGCCAACGAGTGCATGCGGATCAAGATCCTTGGTGACTGCTACTACTGTGTATCGGGCCTGCCCGTGTCGCTGCCCACTCACGCCCGGAACTGTGTGAAGATGGGGCTGGACATGTGCCAGGCCATCAAGTAGGTCCTGGGCAGGCCCAGGCACTGGGTCCTGCCCCATGGTGGACCCTCCTGGGCATGGTAGGGAATTTGTCATTCCCATGTCACCAATGGGGAAACTGAGGCTCGGGGGATGGGGGGTGAAATCAGCTTGCCTGGACCACCCAACCTGCTGGAGGATTCAGACCTCACCTGTTTGCGTCCCTCCCCGTGGTGCTGCCTGTGACTCTGAGTCCCAGAAAGCATCTCCGGAGCTCAGAGCTGGGTAATGTGAGGTCAGGGCAGTGAGATCCGCTCCCCTCAAGGCTGGGGTCTTAGCAACAGCAGGAGGCTTCAGGGCAGGCAGCCGGGGGACCTTTCAGACCCAGGGATCGACTCCAAAGCTCCATCTGCTTGCTGCCCCCCAGTGAAGATCCTGGAGTCAGGCTTGGTCCTGAGGCTGCGGGGAGACCCCCAGCTCTCCTCCAGGTCTGCTGCGGCTCTGAGCAGCCGGGGTCTGTGGCAGGAACTTGCTGAGAGGGCTGTCTGGGGAGAGGGCCAGGCAGGCCCAGCCAGGGTGACCAGTGTAGGGCAGAGCAGGGCCTGGTGGGGCTGCCGGTCCCAGGCATCAGTCCCTGTCCCAGACTGTCCTCCTGAAGTCCAGCCACAGGTGGCTGGTGTTGCCGGAAAGAAGCCTGGGCAGAGCTGGAGGGGCCTGGCCCTGCACCACTGCCTGCGTGACCTCAGGCCGGCCCCTGTGCTGTAATAGGTGGAGGTTGCACAGGCTCTTATGTGCCTCTGGCTCTGACCCTGGAAGGCTTGGTCAGTGCCCAGCCTTGTTGGTGGACACGTGGTGCCGCTTGTTATGGGGACTCAGGCTCTGTTCCTGTCTTGGGGTCCCCTGTGCCCCAGGGAAGCTCTCCTGTGGGGCTCCGCTCCTGTTCTCAGTGGTGCCAACAGCTCCTAGGGCCCCTGCTTCCCAGGGACTGGTGGGGGGTGCATAGAAGGTGCCCATGGTCTGGGCCCTGTGTTCCTTGTCTATGCTAGGTTTTGGTTGGTTCCTGGACCCCCTCTGTAGACCCTAGTAAACTTAAACTTATTTATTTATTTATTTATTTATTTATTTATTTATTTATTTGAGACAGAGTCTCACTGTGTTGCCCAGAGCGCATCTTGGTTCACCACAACCTCTGCCTCCTGGGTTCAAGCGATTCTCCTGTCTCAGCTTCCCAAGTAGCTGGGACTACAGGCGTCTGCCACCACGCCCAGCTAATTTTTATATTTTTAGTAGAGTCAGGGTTTCACCATATTGGCCAGACTGGTCTCAAACTCCTGACCTCAGGTGATCTGCCTGCCTCAGCCTCCCACAGTGCTGGGATTACAGGCATGAGCTACCACGCCCGGCCCCCAGTCAACTTTTACAACCCAGCCAGTGCTGCTGGGCAGGGAAAACACCCAGTGATGGTATTTTGGGTCCATCAACGTGGGCTGTAGTGACTAGTTGGAATTCCTCCTCCTTCCTACCTAACCCTTGAGGTCCGGTGTGGCCACACCTACTTGTGTGCCCCCGGGGACGGGCACTCAGCTCCTCCTAAAGAGGAAGCCGCATCAGGCTGAGAACATTCTGTCCCGTGGGCTGAGCCTGCCCTGTTCCCACACCCTGTCCGGTACCCACCCCACACCTGGGAGCTTCAGCCTGTCCCAGGGCTTAGGCAGGGCTGGGGTGACTGGGCCACTCTGCCCCAGGCAGGTGCGGGAGGCCACGGGCGTGGACATCAACATGCGTGTGGGCATACACTCGGGGAACGTGCTGTGCGGGGTCATCGGGCTGCGCAAGTGGCAGTATGACGTGTGGTCCCACGACGTGTCCCTGGCCAACCGGATGGAGGCAGCTGGAGTCCCCGGGTGAGGCTGGGCTGGGCAGTGGCAGGGCCAGAGGCCTGGGGCTAGCTGTGGATGGAGGGTTCTGTGGTAGGTTGGGGGGTGGTCAGGTGTGGAGGGAGGGATGAATGCAGAAAAGCTGGCCTGGGGCCCGGGCCTGCCTGCTGCACGTCCCTGGGTGGATGCCAGCCCTCTCTGGGCTCCGAGGCTCTGCCTGACTTGGGTCTCCCGCAGCCGGGTGCACATCACGGAGGCGACACTGAAGCACCTGGACAAGGCGTACGAGGTGGAGGATGGGCACGGGCAGCAGCGGGACCCCTACCTCAAGGAGATGAACATCCGCACCTACCTGGTCATCGACCCCCGGGTACGAGGGCTCGGAGGCCGCAGCTCGGGGGGACCCAGAGGGGCTGGAGGGGCCCTGGGAAGCCTGGCCTGCACCTCGGGGGAGACCCCCATGGAGGGAGAGGTGGGGAAGGGTCCTGGCTGGGCAGGAGTGAGCTCCCTGTTCCCAGGCACGTTGTAGGCACTGAGTAGTCACTCCCTGGGACTCCATTCTTCTCTGTGTGATGGGAAAACAGCATCTGCCCCACCAGAAGGAGCTAATCTGAGCGAGGCCCTTGCGGCGCGCCCGGCACGTCACAGCATTCTATGAATTATCGTCGCTCTTGGTTTATTTTCCATGAGGTGGTTACTAATCTCGCAGATTTCTGAGAGACACACTTTCGAAACAAGCTTTGGATGAGACTCAGGAAAGCAGGGAGTGGCCTGGGAGCCACTGGGCAGGAGCCTTTGAGTGTCCTGGGTGCTGACCGCAGGTCCCCTGGTGGATCCAGGACCCTGTGGTGGGGGAGGCAGTTCCACTGCCCTGGCCAGGTGGGGCCCACCTCGGCCTGTCTGCTGCCCGCCCCTGGCCTGCTCAAGGGAGTCTGGCATGTCTGGCCACTACTCTGTGAATCATCCTTGAGGCTTGCTCAAGAATGTCGGCCCAGCCAGCAAGTGGCTCCTTTCACTCTGGTCCTGAATGTGCCTTGGGGCTGGCCCGACTGCCAGACCCTGGGGGCCCAAGGGCTGGCCTGTGAGCCTCCCTACACATCTGCTGGCCTCACTCTGCCCCCAGCACCCCCAGTGCTGCGCCATCCATACTGAGCCAGCATCTGGGAAAACCCCTCCCAGTACCTGTGTCCTGCGCCACCACCCTCCTAGAATAGGGCAGCGATCCTCGCCCTGTATCCTGGCCCTGGCCTTGCCCCTCCAAGCCCCTCCCCTGCTCTCCCGTTCCCCTCACCCCACCTGGTCTCCTCCTGCCCTTCCACTACCAGGCTGGTGGCACCTGCAGGTCCCTGCACCCGAAGCACTCCTCCCTCCATCCCTAATGCCTTTGCTTGTTTATCCATTTTCCTTGTCTGTTGTCATCGTGAGTGCCATGCCAGGGGGCTCCTCCTCTGCAGGCTGCAGCCCTCCACCCCGTGCTGAGATGGGTGCCCAGCTCGAAGCTGGTGCTCAGATAGCCCTTGAATGAATGAAGCAGCGCTCCTCACCTAGGATGCTCCAAAATCTACCCCCGCAGGCTGCCAGGTGGAGCAGAGAAAACTGCAGGGCTGCCTGGGCGGACTTGCATTTCAGATAACCGTGAATCATGTTTCGCATAAGTGTTGCACGCAGTACTCAACTGGGCAGCTGTATTTATCTGGCAGCTTGTATCTGTATTTATCTGTATTTATCTGGCAAAAGTTTTTGTTTAACTTTATTCATCCACGCAGTTGAAGTTCAAAAGGTGTGAAGGGCATGTTGTAGAAAGAGTCCTTGTCCCCAGCCGGCACATCTCCTCAGAGGGGGCCTGTGCAGTGAGTTTCTTGTATTCCCTCCACAGGGATTTTCATGGACACAGAGTGAACTGCGAGTCCCCCGACCCTTCATGCTAAGGTGGCAGTGGCGGGCCCCATGGTCGAGCACCCTGCATTTTTCCTACCTTTGGGACATCCCTCCTGTGTGCAGGGAACTTGTCTGTAGCTCCTGTTTTTGACACGGAGATAGATTTTCTGCACTGGCTTCTATGGGCTTTGCCTCACCATTGCTGTATGGCCTGACTGGGGCAAGGTGGGCTCCTGTGGACTGGATGTGGCTGCAGGTGCCCCCATGGGGCTCATACCAATGCCACGCCCATTCTGAGTAGGATGTGTTTGCTCAGAACTGAGGAATCTGATTTTTATTTATTTCTGCTTTTTATTTGTTTCTCAGGGGGCTGGGGTGTCTGGATTCTCTGCTGAGTGCCAGTGACCTTGAACTTGAACGGCTGGGCACTGTGTAGGCAGAGTTGCCACAATGGACGAGGGGACAGAGAAATGCACCCACCCCCACCAGGTTGCTCACCACAGGGCCAGCGAGCTCTTCCTGCTCCGGGACACTCACCAAGGCCAAATTCCACATGGCTCCCATGGCTAGGCAGATAGATGCGGCTAAGGACTTAAAAATGTTTCTATCCCAAAAGGAGGCAAGAGGTTTCCGGGAAAGTTGAGCTGTGGCTTAGTGAGTGTTTGTAGTTGTGGAGGCTTGTCCACGGGGTGTTTGCGGGGCCCTAGGAGACAGGACTTCTGGAGGCAGGGGAATGTTTCAGGGGCTAAGGACTCAGCAGACCTGGAGCCGGCTTAAGCTCATCTCTGGTGGCCTTTGGGTCTTTCTCTTCCCTGCCCCTTTTCCAGTCCTGTCTGGCCGCCCTAACTGAGGAAGGCCGCAGGCAGGTGTTCTTGGCTCAGGGGGGTCTCAGGTCTGTGGCATGAGGGGGTTGGCGGGTAGGGCTGGCCATGCATTCAGGGCCTGGCTGAGCTACTGAGTGTCCAGCATAAGGCTGGGTCTCGCAGGCACGTGGCAGGTCATGGCCCTGTGCCATCTGCGGTTGGGGGCCACACAAGTGGAACTCTCTGGATCGCTGCCTTGGGGGTTGGCTGGCCTCTGGCTTGGTCATTTCTTGGGGCGGCCAGTGCCCCTCTTCCTCCTGGTCGCTTCCCACAGGAAGGAGCGAGCGCGCGCCGGCCACACGTGGGAGGGCGGGCTATGATGGAGGGAAGGCGTGCCGGCCACACGTGGGAGGGCGGGCTAGGATGCCTGTGGCTTCCCCAGGCGCCTCTTGGGGAGGGGCTGATGGGTGCTCAGACCCCAGGGACTCTCTGGTTCCAAGGAGCCTCAAGGGCAGTGGGGCTTCGGGCTTGGGACCCGAACCCCGCCTCTCTTCTTGGGGAGGCAGAGCAGGGAGTGGGGTTGGGTACCGTGGTGGGTACGCGCTAGCCTCTTCTCTGCCTGGGGCAGGGCCAGGGCGCCGAGCTGCGACCCCCTATGACCCGGCCTCAGTGTGCACCAGGCTTTGGCTGGCCAGTCCCCAAGGGCAGCCACTCTCCAAGGGGACTGCGGATTGAGCAACTTCTTTGCTGTTTATTTTTTCATGGGCTCAGGGTGGTGTCACACTTCAGGGAGAGCCGGATGGGAGTGGCGGCCCCTTCCTGGGCCGAGAGGGGAGGAGGTGGCACAGGCCTGTGTCCATGTCTGCCCCCAGAGCCAGCAGCCACCCCCGCCCAGCCAACACCTCCACAGACCCAAGGGGGATGCGGCCCTGAAGATGCGGGCGTCAGTGCGCATGACCCGGTACCTCGAGTCCTGGGGGGCAGCGCGGCCCTTTGCGCATCTCAACCACCGCGAGAGCGTGAGCAGTGGCGAGACCCCCGTCCCCAATGGGCGGAGGCCTAAGGTAGGTCCCCCTCCCACCCAGAGAGCCAGGGATTGGGGCCCCAAGCCAGGGGCAGGAGAGTGAGTGCTAAAGATCTCCTACCCTCTCAGCCTCACTGTCCCCATCTGTAAAATGGCCACAGCCTCTGCCCTACCTCCTGGGGCTGGAGAGGAAGCAAAGGCATTTGGAGACTACGCCAGGATGGCCAGGAACATCCCTGTCCTCCTTGGTGCCTGGACCATGCTCAGTTGTAGTCAGGATGTCTGTGGCTTGGATGACCCTGACACCTTGTCCTGTGTATCAAGTGCTGGAGGGGCTGCACCTGGCCCAGCAGTGGCCTTCAGGGCCCAGTGTTCTGGGGAATGACTGTATCCTTTCCTCCCTTCCCTTTCAGAGCATTCCCCAGCGCCACCGCCGGACCCCAGACAGGTGCGTGCCCTGCCATCCTGGCAAGTCCTGCTGCAGCCACCTCCTCCAAGCAGGCTGCCCTGACCAGCCTCTGTCCAGTGGGCAGCTCTGCAAGGCCCAGCCCAGGACCTCTGTGAAGTTGGCCAGGGCTTGGGTCAAAGCATTTCTAGGAACCAGAGTTTCCTGGCTCCTGGCCCTTCTACCTGGCCTTGATGGAGCACCTGTTGTGTGGTGCCCTGGCAGGGTCAGTGGAGTCGGTGGAAGGGAAGGAGATGCCTGTGGGTGTTCTGGTCTCCATGCCAACCCCGGGGGTGTAGCTGAAGACGCCTTGGACTGGGGCTTGGGTCTGCCCTCTGCGTGTGGCTGGGGTGCTGGCCAGTTGGGCCATGCTGGATGATGCTGGGTCCTCACTTGCCCTCTCTGGGCCTCAGTGGGACCCACCCATTCCTTCACCATCCCACACGAGGTTCTGGGACCGCACTGGTGGCCATGCCCACGCCCACGCCCTCCTCTGGGAGAGTTGGAGGTGGTCCCTGTGCCCATCCTGTTGTTGGTATCTGATTCCAGGAGCATGTCCCCCAAGGGGCGGTCGGAGGACGATTCGTACGATGACGAGATGCTGTCAGCCATCGAGGGGCTCAGCTCCACGAGGTGAGGCCTGAGACCTCTGTCCACCCCCATCTCCTCTCCCCCTTGGATAGGGGTCTCCTATGTGGGCAGGCCCACCTCATGCCCCATGCCTGGTGGCCCAGTCTTGTTCCTTCCCCCTGCCTGCTGCCACCTCCCGAGGGAATGGACCCCTTCCCAGCTCCCATCTCACCACAGCTGCCCCCGCCCACAGGCCCTGCTGCTCCAAGTCTGACGACTTCTACACCTTTGGGTCCATCTTCCTGGAGAAGGGCTTTGAGCGTGAGGTGAGGACCCCCAGCAGCCTCCCCCACAGAGGGACAGGGTCTCCAGGCTTGGGGTGGGGTGGGAGGCGCAGGTGATGGGGCAGCCTGCATTCCCAAGACCGGCTAGGGGAGGGGCACTGAGAATCCACAGCTGCTCCCGCGTGGGGGTGGGGGCGGGGCCAGTGCAGCACCAGCCTGGCGCTCTCTCCTGTCAGCCTCATTCCATGACCCAAATGCGCCATCAGAGATTTGCCTCCATGGGTCTTCAAGACTTTTGCTCCGTCCAGTGCAAAGCCTTAGCGGATCCTGGCATGGATGCCTCAGGCTGACGGCACTGGCCTTGCAATGAGATGAGAACCCAAAACTCAGTTATCACTGTCCTGTCTTGCTGCTACGAGCTTTTTGTACTGATAACGACCATTTCTTTCCTGAGTGCCTTCTGAGTTCCGGCAGCATCCTCGGCACCCACATTATACAATTTAACCGTCACACGGCCAGCCCAGGGGTGC